CAGACAGACACAATAGATGCAGGGACTTAGACAAGAATTGACAAGGGGAAGAACATACCAAGCAATGAAGAACAGCGTTGACCTTTCCTTACAATCAATGATAATGCCACCAAAATACAAGTAAACGGCCAATAAATAAAAAGGTCCAAAGCAACAGGTGTACAACAGTAACGAATACAAGACCATTTTCACGGCATTGCGGATTCTCTTCCTCCGAAGTCGTYTTTGCGCGTCAGAAAGACTGCCTTCAATGGCTTGGGGCTTTGATAGGCGTCGTAATGTTAAGATACTTAGCACAGCCATTGATAAATAGTAGGCCAGCATSGCTGCTAAAAATACAAAATGTGTGATCTTCGGTACCTTTTTGTTACTTGGGTATATGACACATTTCTTCATCGAATTGTGTCTTCTAACATGTGCAAAAAATAACAGAAACAAGTTCATTACCATGGCAATGAACCAGCACCAAGCTATTATTGCCATGCGGTGTTTGGCAGATAGCGGTCTTGAAATTTCTATAGTTTTCCTGGTAACTCGATATCTCTCAATGCTGATAATCATTAAGCTTATAAGAGACTGGCTAGAAGCAAAAGAAAACAAAAAGCTGAATATCTTACAAAGAACATTCGCGACAGTTTCATCCATGTTGTTCCATATATGGTTATTAAGAAAACGGTCTGTGACATAACGCTGGAGGGTGAACATAACAAAAAGAGTATCAGCGACTGCCATGTTGATAATCAAAAAGTGCAGACTCTTTGTTACAGTGTACTTTACAGCCAGCACAATGACAAAAACGTTGCCAAAAATACCCAAACCACCAAGAACCAAACATGTCATCAGTTTTAGAGTTTTTTCAATAGGGGACTCCATTTGCTCATATGTACAGTAGTTGCTGCCATTCAAGAGGTTGGAGTCATTCATATTTGAGATCGGAATTTCTGTCTAGCCAGATCTTTCTTTTAGATTCGATTTTCTTCCACATGAATACTCCAGATGTTCATCAATGTTTCAATACCTTTTCCATCTTTTCAAAATTTATTTTTGTTGTGGGTCATCTTCCGCTCTTTTCTTCCAGAAATCTTCTTCTTGATCTTATTTTTACGCTGGATACTGCAGTTCATCAATTTTTCAATACCTTTTCCACCTTTTCAAAGTTATTTTTCTTGTAGGTCATCTGCCGCTTTCTTCTTCCTGAAATCTTCTTACTCTTACTTGAATCTAGTGCTCTGTCAATACCTCTTCCATCTTTTCAAAGTTTATTTTTCTTGTAGGTCGTCTGCCGCTTTGTTCTTCCCGGAATCTTCTTCTTACTCTTGCTTGAATCTAATGCTCTGTAGGACTGCTAAGGTATGTTAATATCCCTAGCAGTAACCACCGATGTAAAGATTTATTCGACTCTTTCACACGGTCTGTATCGATTTTATTTATAAATGATAGGTATTTGAATCTTAAGTCAATTAAGGCTCTAACCTTTTTATGTCGTTCTTTACCGGCAGCTTCTGTCAGATATATATGCTTCGTTTCGTTTTCAAGTGATCCAGATGGAATATCACAAATATTCAATTAGTGTCACTTAGGTTTTCTCCTCTTTACATTACTTTTTATTAGTTTTGGCTGAGTTTGACAGCTGGTAAAATAAATAGTAAAAGAAAACTTAGCGTATTACCACGCTTTTCCTCGGAGAAAAATTGATATATTCTCAAAAGTGGAACAGTTTAGGGTAATGCTCTTTAGTTAGCTGTCGATATAAAATGAATCTTATTTTGTATCTGTTTTTGAAAAAGTAATGTTTTGAGCTTTTTCAAGAAAGACGAGCACTTGTAATGTTAAGTTGAGGTACAAGGCAAATTTCGCTGTTGTAGCAGGTTTCCAATATGTTCACAAAGAGACCGAAGCGTGACAGTCGAAATCTCTTTCAACGCAAGAAGATAAATAGAGGTTATTCTGTTTATCATATAGTTACATATGAAAGCAACTTATGTCGTATTTTCAATACAGCGAGTTCTTGGAACAACAGAGTTTCTTCCAGTGAAACTAGGTGTGTTTGCAAAGCAAAGCACTCTCCTCGCTGCTTCACGGAAGTCGGACAGACAGACACAATAGATAACGGGACTGAGACAAGAATTGACAAGGGGAAGAACGTACCAAGCAAAGAAGAACAACGTTGACCATTCAACACAACCAATGAACATGATGCCACTAAAATACAAGTAWACGGCCACTACATAAAAAGGTCCMCATGAACATGAATACAACAGTAACGAATACAAGACCATTTTCACGGCATTGCGGATTCGTTTTCTTCGATGTTGTCTTTGCACTTCTGAAAGACTGTCTTCAATGGCTTGGGGCTTTGATAGGCTTCGTAATGTTAAGATACTTAGCACAGCCATTGATAAATAGWAGACCAGCACCGTTGCYAGAATTRCAAAAAATGAGATCTTCGATACCTCTTTGTTATTGGAGTAATTGACACAATCCTTTTCCGAATTACGTCTTTTAACATGARCAGAAAGAAACAGCAACACGTTCATTACCATGGCAATGAACCAGCAACAAGCTATGATTGCYACGCGGTGTTTGGYAGATAGCGGTCTTGAGATTTGTACAATTTTCCTGGTAACTCGATATCTCTCAATGCTGATGATCAGCAAGGTTATAAGAGACTCGGTGAAAAACAGAGAGACCAAAAATGAAAATGTTTTGCAAAGAACATTCGCGATAGTTTCATCCATGTTGTTCCATATATAATTTTGAAGAAAACTGTCGTTGACATGCCGCTGGAGGTGGAACRYGATAAAAAGAATATCTGCAACKGCCATGTTGATRATYAAAAAGTGCAGAYTCTTTGTTACAGTGTACTTTACAGCCAGCACGATGACAAAAACGTTACCAGAAATACCGACTCCACCAAGAACCAAACATGTCATCAGTTTTAGAGTTTTTTCARTAGGGGACTCCATTTGCKCATATGTACAGTAATTGCTGCCATTCAAGAGGTTCGAGTCATTCATATTTRAGATCGGTATTGCTGTATARCTTCTAGATTCGATTTTCTTCCATATGAATACTCCAGATGTTCATCAATTTGTCAATACCTTTTCCATCTTTTCAAARTTTRTTTTTGTAGACTTTCGCTTGTTCCGTATCTCCCGCCTTTCGCGCTCAATATTCACCCATTTCTGGGAGTAAGAGAGACTCCGACTTGGGCAAATCTATATTTTTGCTCTGGGTCATCTACCGCTGTTTTCTTCCCGAAATCTTCTTCTTACTCTTATTTAAATCTAGTGCTCTGTAAGACTTATAAGGTATGTCAAGATTCGTAGCAGTATCCACCGATGTGAAAATTTATTCGATTGACTTTTTCACACAGTCTGTAACGATTTTCTTAATAAATGATAAGCCACTATTTGAATCGTAAGTCAATTGAGGCTCTAATCTTTTTATATCGTTCTTTGCCGGCAGCTTTTGTTAGATATTAAGAGGTTGTATTGGGTTAATATCGTTGCAAAGCGATCCAGATGGAATATCACAAATAATGGACACTTACTTGGTTACCACAATATATTTAACTACTGTCACTTAATTTGTTTCCTATTYACATTGCTCTTTTATTAGTATTGAATGGGCTTGACAGCTGGTAAAATA